TAAACCATCAGTAGTAGTAATAATAGAAATAAAAAATCAAAAAAAACCAGCTAGATATAAACCTCGAAAAAATTGTTGGCTCAAAAAACATTGGAGTTTTAATAATAATAAGTAAGTGCTGTTTCTTAAAATAAATTTCTCTCGTTCAATATATAATCATAGAGATAATATTGTTGTTGAGCACGAAGTTGTCCAGGTGCAAAAATTGCTTTTGTTTCCAAAGATGACCTTTTTATTTGTCTCGGTTTTTCTTTCCGTTTGATAGACAACACTACACTACTAATAATATCGGGAATCGCCTTTACCATAAGATTATTAGTGTTGTGACATCCAACTACACTACACTGGAAGAACTCAAAATGTGTTTCGAACTTTACATTAATTTTTTCTTATTTAACCATATTTGGACATTTCTATGCGAGGACGCAGTAAACCATGCATTAACTTTACTAATACACTACTTCTACTATTCTACTATTTCCTGGTTTATCCATCCACTCGTTCGTTCCTCTACCTATCTATCCATCCATCATCCATCCATCCGCCTATCCGCCTATTCATTTATTTATTTTTAGTTTTTTTTTTTATTCTAAACAGTAGTAATAGTATAAACAATGAACAAAGCGAGTATAGCCAGCATCCTTAACACAGACACTCCTTGTACATACGTGCCTTCGTCGATGAAACCTGCAGTTAGTGCTAACTCAACGGAGACTCTGACTCCTTTCTCATCTTCAACGTTGGCTGCGATAACTAACGCAGACTCTGGTTTTCTCGATAACACAAGATCTCCGTTTATCACTCCACTCAAAACACACGAACAATACTCTCAAGAGCAAACTCATGTGTTTTCGCACAATAATTTTTCACTATCTAATAATTTGGTCTTACCAAGACCTCCCCTGTCGAGTGATCGACAAAACCCTATGCAATCTCGAGCTGATGGAGATGAAATTCGAGTGCCGGCTAATTTTCACTCGACATTTCATACGAATTTTCCTATTCACACCGGAGCAGCTACCAATATTGTCCAAAGTATACCAAGGATTCAGTTGGTCCCAAATGAGGATGTCGGGATTTATAAGAACTTAAATGCTATCGTTTTGAATCGAGATCTCTTGGATACTATGGGAAGGCAAACCGATGCGGTAACTAATTCTTCAAATTTTTCTGTTAGAGGCGAACTGATTGATTATTCATCATGGAATTGATTTTGTAGACTGCGAATGCGTACATGAAAGTACCCGACACCTTACGGCAAGTATTCGATTTCAAAAACACGATAGTCTCCACCGATCCAAATAATCCTTTGGTCGAACAGAATAAAGCTGTTCGCAAAAAACGCTTTCGTCGAACCAAGCAGCAAATGTTAGAGGATGCCATGAAAGCAAAGGAAAAAGGTGAAAACGATGTCAAAGTTTCTTCTCCCCTCTCTGCTCCTCCGAAACGTGGTAGGAAGAGAGCAAGAAATCTAAATTTTCAGAGACCACAAGATAGACTCAAGAGACCAAGGAATGGATATATGATCTTCATGAATGAGGTCTATGAGGAGACCAAATTAAAAAATCCAAACCTAAAATTCGGTGAAATCTCGGCGGCAATTGGTGAGAGATGGAAAAATATGTCAAAGGAGGAACAGATGGTATGTGTGTCTGTCATCCTGTTAGAGAGGGCAATTATTTATTATTATGGATTGTCTAATACATTATTCAATAAATATTATTCGAATTATTCGATTGTCTATCAATGCATCGGATTGACTTATCTCTCTTTTTTATAATTAATCAGCCATACCATCACAAACATGAACAAGAGAAGTTGATGTATGAGAACGCCAAACAAGCAATGTCTAAAGGTGCCATCTGTTTTGTGGAAGAGAATATCCCATCATCATCGCCATCGTCGGAACAAAAAGCTACGAATAAAACTTTTGAAAACGACCCATCTGCTTCATCCACATCTATCTTGATACCTTCGCAATTACTCACGCCCAAATCGCCAGCTGCAAAACTACCAACACTCAAATTAACTCCAACTTCTGTGTCAACGTCCTCGAATGACATGATCATAGGAGGTAGAGCTAAATTATCCCAACACGCACCATTCATGCAATCACCATCTGCCTCTGAGAATATAATCAAGGCTACGGCCTCTGCGCGCGGATTGCCGCCTGCCACTTTGTTGGTAACTCCGCTGACCACTCCCTGCGAGACAGATGAAATCCAAAAGTCGACTTCGATTGAAGAATTATTTGAAGGGGTACAATCAAAAACTGTAGTCAACACTGCTGAAAAATCCAAATCTTCCAATCTAGATAAAGGTGTTGCTGATGGAGACAATTTACCTTCAAATTTATCACCCAATTCTAATGAACAAATAATGTTTATTGAAGGTGATCAGAAAAATGAGAAGATTCAGAAGGATCAAGATATAAGTAAAATTGTTAGTGGTGGACTGAAGACAGAGGGTTTGGTATTGGTGGATGATTATGAGGATGGAGGAGATGATTTAGAAGGTATGGGAGTTGAAGAAATTACTCAGTCACTATCTCCAACCTATGGCACACCACAGCTAAAAGTTGAGAAGCGAAAAGGTAGGGGGGGGAAGGAGGAAAAAGTTTGGGAAGAAAAGGTTAAGCTAGATCAAGAAAGGCAAAAGAAAAAATCGGAGATTAATATTGATCTATTGATGAAAGGTATTGAAGAAGAATTGGCAGAAAAAGAAGAATTGGTGGATGATGACGATGATTATGATGTAGAATCGGTAACGTATGGTAGCAGAACATCAGGGCGAAATAATTCTACCAAGAAGGTCACAAGATCTTTGCTAAAAGGTAAACAGATTCTAAATAAAGACATTAACCGAGACTTTACGCCACGACGTGAAGGCTTAAGGTCAGCAAGACGCTCATCGATTAACAACACTAAACTCACAAGGTCGCGCAATCGGTCGTCACCGTCAAAGTCCGTCGACGACATCGCAAGTTCTTCAAAATCATCGCCGAATATTTTGAAGGATGACGATAGCCATGATATGATCGAGGTTGACTCTGATAACACCAGTGATTACGATAGCGATACAAGCAATGACACAAGAAATAAATGGCATTTTCCAATTGTCGGAACAAAAACATCTCCGGGACTGACTCCCTATAGAAAGCGTAAGGTTAACTCTATTGATGAAGATATTAACGAGTCTAATGCTACTAATAAACATGGTAGAAGTGTTGGGAATCGTGGGGGAAGAAGAGGACAGAGAACCACTCGAAATGCGAATAATTCAGAGGATGTATCTGTGAAAAAGGTATACAAAAGAAGAAAGGTATACTGATTGGTTATCTGGAGTTCAAGGTTATTTTGTTTCATGTCAAATTTTAGATCAGAGCAAGGACAATTTAAAATTAACTGCTTTATTACAACGATGATAAATGATGAGCTGTATCCCATGAATATTTTGAAAAGTAGGATTTAATAACATTTCACATGCAGAAAAATATTTAGTACTTTGGTAGGGGATTTTAAAACTTCTGAAACATGTGAAATGATTCTTGGTTCAGGTTTAGCAATGGTGGTCATAGTTGTTAATAAATAAAATAGTTGGTGAATGTTAAAATTCTTAATTTTTTTTTTTTTTTTTTTAGGACAGATTTAAATAAGATTTTATTCTATATTTTCTGAACTATAGTCTAATCTACTCTGACCTTTTAATTTCACCAGTTTAACAATAAGAAAATTACTTGGTGTGCTAGTCTGTTAAATAGATCCTATCCATTTTATGATTATGTAATTCCTTTTAAGTTCAATTATCCGATTATGCATTATGTATATGATTAATCACAATGTGATAATTGAATTATGTTTTTTTATAATACATGCAAATGTTTTCATCTGGTATACTGTATATAATTGCTTATTGATACAAATATACAAAATAATGAAGGATTTTCCAAGCGACCTTTTAAAGAAGTTCAGAAATATGTTTGGTCTAAAAATTTAATACATTAGCTAACAAATACTTTCTACTAAACCATATAGTATTGATAATGGACAAAGATTCCTACATACCTTGTTACAAAATTTATCGATGTATTATCTTTTTGGATTTCTGAAAAATATATTACATTAAGAACTTACTTAGAGCTCAGTCTATGCATAGGATATTGCGTACGTGAAGATGGAATTTTCATAGAATTGCTTCTATATAAATACTGCCGGAAATTCCTTGTAATCGCATTCTATCCGATTTTTATTATATAAATTATTAATTCATCATATACAGTATATGGAAGAAATGTTAATCTTTAATCCCGTTGCCTTTATATTTTTAATGGCGTAGTATTTCGTGTAATAACATTTTAAATAGACTTAAGATTATTTTAAAAAACAATCTATAATCGTTATTACATAAGAATTTGCAAATAACAAAACAACAGAATTCTTCAAGATCAGATAATATATTGAAAATTTAAATACCCTTTAATTAAAAGAATTACAATATATTGTTGAAAAATTATGTTATTAAATATTTAACATATATTTATTCATAATTAAGATATATTGTATATTCATTGTGACAAATTTATATCTTTATAAAATGTTTTACAAATCCGTAATAAATTTTCGAAATCATAGAATTGGATTTCTTATTAGACTTTATAACGGTCTATTTTCATTAGATTGTATTAATAACTAAAAGGTTTTATATATGAAAACTAATTTTTAATAACATATCCCGAATTTTATTTAATACTTACTGTATATAGAATCTGGACTATTTGAACTGTCTAGCCTAATATCGCAATAACATAATTTTAGATTCTTATGTTTTCTGGGTTGTTTGAACTGTATAACCTTATTAATTGTCTAATTTATATTATATATCCCTATGATAATTTAATTAATCACAGTATATTATTGTTTTTACAATATAGTGAAACAAATTAAAAAATGAATGTTAAAATTAAAAATAAATGTTATATATAGTGTTATTGAAATAAAACTTATAAAATTTAAAACTCAAATAAAAAACTTTTATACTTATAATATTTTGTCTAAAAATGTTTAAATATAAAATAATAAAAAACAAAAGTATTTATATTGATACTTATATTGAAATTATATTATAATTAGACAATTTTTTTAAACAATATACTGTATACAATGTAATTTTAAGAAGCGTAATTATAGTGTCTAAAAAATTCTTGTTTATCTTTAAAAACAATTATTTATATCATATATATAATATATATATATACATATAGTTTAAATACAAATTTCAAAAAAAAAATGTCTAAATCAAAAAAAGTTACAAAAAATACTTTAAAATAAAGGCTAATATATTTATAGCTTAATGAAATAATAATAATAACAAAAAAACAATATAAATATTAATATTAATATTATAACAATTTATAACTATACTGATTAAAATAAGAATTATAATAAAATTGAAACAATAATAACAATAACAATAATAATAATAATAATTGCACCTATAATATAAATATATATAAGAAATATAACCATATAAAAATAAATTCAATAAAAAAGTTAAAAATAATATATATATTGTCATATATTGTTTCTATCTTAGGAGAAAGATAAAGATAGAGAACTAGTAGCAGGAAGGCACTTTAGATGGACAGGGCCAATGTGATATGCTAAAGTTTCTAGAGGCGTACAAATTAGTACAATTCTGAGGTGTATAAGGTCAGGTAAAAGAGTCAATAGTGATTTGTTTTGTAAAGGTCAAGTTATTTATTCGATAAAATATATGTTCAAGCCTATCAATTTCTAGGCAAAATTGGAGCCTTTATATACATGTTTAAGTTATAATATTTTTGTACGGGATAAATATATGCTATAGTAAAAATATAAGTTAAGATATAGATACTATTTTCGTCAAAATATTCAACTATAGTAGCATTTACATAGATAAATACTTTGGTGAAGATAATATAAAAAGTAAAGATAAAATAAAATAGAAATGCTCTAGAAATGATAAAGGTACAATAAATACAATAGATGTCAAAGGTGTTGTAACAGATCTGTAATATAAGACTATTCTAGAATAACTAACATTTCAAGGATCAATGCTAGTGAAAATTAGACAAGGGGTATTGAAGATCTTGGGCAAAAATCAAGTGTAACAATATACAAAAAAAAATATTAATACCATAAAGATATATTAAATTTTATATTAAATATTAATAAATATAATAATTAAATCCAAATTTTCAAATCCAATAAGTATTAAAAAAATATTCAATATTAAAAAAAACCATTCACAAAAAAAATTCTTCTATTTATTATATACAGTATTTCTTAAAAATTTCTTTTTTAATAAGCTTTTTTTCTTTTAAGAGAAAACTTTTGCTAAAAAACTTACAAATATACTGGTTAATAATATTACACTGTACTTTCTCTAAAGATATAGTTCTTGCTAGTAAAAAAGTTGTAAAACTAAAAAAATTTCTTTATTTTTAAACAAGTTTCTTTGAATAATAAACTAAAAATATTATTGAAATTTGATTTGATTCTTTTATAAAAGTCTTATAAAACTATGGATAATTTTAATTAGACAGTAATTTAGATAAAGGTATTTATTTAATTCAAATAAAAAGTAAGTTTATTCAAATTAAAAGTATATTCTTTTTATATATTTTGATATAAAAAAAAATAGAAATAGAAAAAAAAATAAAAAAATAAATAACATAATATAACAATAACTAAGTTTATCTAGATATAATAATATTATTTCATAATTATTTTATAATTTCTTTTTTTTTTTTATAGGTAAACATTATTTCTTTATTTGATTTGTATATAGCATGGTATACATCGTGAAAGAAACAACATCTCTCATGTGTTAGTACAATAAGTTAAATGCTAACTTGCCTAATTATTTTATAATTTCTTTAAATTAGAATATATATATAATTATAAAAAAAAACTCTTTCTACTGATCCTCTTGCCAACACAAAAAACAGATGTTTTAAAGAAATTTTATATTTTTTTATAATATAGTCTATACACTTTCTTTAACAACATCAATATCTAGAGGCTTTAGCCTCCCCTCTCTTGTTTCTTTCTCTCTTTGATATAAACTTCCTGTATTTTAACAAGTAAATACAAGAAAAACCTACCTATAAAGTCAAAGGCAAAAATACTTTGTTAGAAAAAAGAACCTATAAAAAAAATACACTCCTCTTTTCTTCCAGAGATTCAAGATTCCAGAAAAGATCAGCATAGGCTTCTGAAACCCTTCTCTTATTTTTCTTAAGTCTCTTTCCTATCCTTTCAAGTGTATATACTTTTTTTTGGTTTTTCTAATGAATTTTATCTACCTTAGTTTGATTTTGAATTTTTGGTTATACTGGAACTCCTGAATGATAATTGGCTAGAAATTTGAACTAGTTGATCTACATATAACAAGAAATGTAAACAAGACATGTAATTCCCATATGTTCCATCTCATAAAATAAGAAATCTAATAATGCCATTGGATACAGTGAAAAGAGCAAGGTAATAAGGTGTCTGTTTTGTCAAGATATGTTATAATACTTCCCCTCCTTTCTTAGACTGGTTTCTTTTCTCTTTATAATCAAAAGAAATCTCATCCCTATTCAGTAACAAGCTTTCTCTGTTGTTGATTATCTCAAGAAGACATCAAGCAATAATTCCCTAAGGTATAAGTCTTGTTTCAAGCAATAATTCCTTATAGGTATAAGACTTGTTATAAGCATCTTGAATGTTCTTGGTCAACAATGGAATAGTAGAAATTAAATGGTTTGTCCAGCTGCAGGTAGTAATAAAGGATTTATTCTGATGGACCAAGATTAATATTGAAGAGTTTTTATTTACCAGAACAAACTTTTCAACTATACTTTTTATTTTCCTTTTTTTTCTTAAAAATAAAATTTTTTTACTTCTTAAAACCATAGGTTCATATGGAAGTAACAGTCTAAATATAAGCTGGCAGAGATCTTTCAAGGCATAGTCTTTGATGCCTAGTCTTGAAAAGAAGCAACTTTTATTATTTCCTACAATCACATTTAGAGAGTTAAGATTTAGAAAGTCTAAGATAGTTAATATCATGCAGTAATAGCTTAATGAACCTACTTCCTTGTAATAAAATAATTAGTAAATAGCTAAATTATATGAGTAACACAGTATTCTTGAGAAAGATCATATATAAATCTAAACTCATTAACAAATGTTCTGCAAAATTGTGTTAGTTTAGCTTTAGTATAATATTATATTGTATTACTGTTTTCTAAAATTTGGATTAATAAATGTTTCCATTTGCAGTCTGATTAGAGGCTAAATATA